TGCGGGTTATTCCTCCTTCCCGTACTGGTCGGGCGACGGGGAGCATACAACCAGGTAAGGTTGGGAAGGCTCAGTGCTCAAGGGAGCCAGTACGCCTGCACGGTCCGGTATTTCCGGCGCCACCTCCCCGCTCCAGCCCAGTACCACCAGTGCCTCCACCACGCACCAAGCCTCCTGTGTGTCCCCAGAGTCCTGTGCGTCCTGTTGCTACTCCCCGCACTAGCCCTGAGATGCGTGTCCTCAGCCCGGGACCACCAGTTCCGGCACCACGCACTAGGCCTTGTGTGCGTCCCCAGGGTCCAGCATGCCCTGTTGCTACTCCCCGCACTAGCCCTGAGATGCGTGTTCTCAGCCCGGGACCACCAGTTCCGGCATCACGCACTAGGCCTTGTGTGTGTCCCCAGGGTCCAGCATGCCCTGTTGCTGCTCCTCGCAGTAGCCCTGAGATGCGTGGCCTCAGCCCGGTACCTCCAGTTCCGGCACTACGTTCCAGGCCTATAGGGCGTCTCGGCCGGCCAGAGTCTGCCGTCTGCCCAACGCCGTCTGAACTGTCCGTCTGCCAAGCACTGCCTGAACTGCCCGTCTGCCCAACGCCGTCTGAACTGTCCGTATGCCAAGCGCTGCATGAACTGCTCGTCTGCCCAACGCCGTCTGAACTGTCCGTTTGCCAAGCACTGCCTGAACTGCCCGTCTGCCCAACGCCGTCTGAACTGTCCGTATGCCAAGCGCTGCATGAACTGCCCGTCTGCCCAACGCCGTCTGAACTGTCCGTCTGCCAAGCACTGCATGAACTGCCCGTCTGCCCAACGCCGTCTGAACTGTCCGTCTGCCAAGCACTGCCTGAACTGCCCGTCTGCCCAACGCCGTCTGAACTGTCCGTATGCCAAGCGCTGCATGAACGGCCCGTATGTACTGAGCCTGCTAAGCCGCCCGTCTGCCATGAGCCTTCAGAGCCGTCCGCCAGACCGGAGCCGCTAAAGCCTTCCGCCAGACAGGAGCCGCTAAAGCCTTCCGCCAGACAGGATCAGCCAGAGCCTTCCGCCAGACAGGATCAGCCAGAGCCTCCCGCCAGACAGGATCAGCCAGAGCCCTCCGCCAGACAGGATCAGCCAGAGCCTTCCGCCAGACAGGATCAGCCAGAGCCTTCTGCCAGACAGGATCAGCCAGAGCCTTCCGCCAGACAGGATCAGCCAGAGCCTTCCGCCAGACAGGATCAGCCAGAGCCTACCGCCAGACAAGATCAGCCAGAGCCTTCCGCCAGACGGGATCAGCCAGAGCCTTCCGCCAGACAGGATCAGCTAGAGCCTTCCGCCAGACGGGATCAGCCAGAGCCTTCCGCCAGACAGGATCAGCCAGAGTCTTCCGCCCGACAGGATCAGCCAGAGCCTTCCGCCAGACAGGATCAGCCAGAGCCTTCTGCCAGACAGGATCAGCCAGAGCCTTCTGCCAGACAGGATCAGCCAGATCCGTCAGCTAGCCATGAGCAGCCAGATCCGTCAGCTAGCCATGAGCAGCCAGATCCGTCAGCCAGCCATGAGCAGCCAGATCCGTCAGCCAGCCATGAGCAGCCAGATCCGTCAGCTAGCCATGAGCAGCCAGATCCGTCAGCCAGCCATGAGCAGCCAGATCCGTCAGCCAGCCATGAGCAGCCAGATCCGTCAGCCAGCCATGAGCAGCCAGATCCGTCAGCCAGCCATGAGCAGCCAGATCCGTCAGCCAGCCATGAGCAGCCAGATCCGTCAGCCAGCCATGAGCAGCCAGATCCGTCAGCTAGCCATGAGCAGCCAGATCCGTCAGCCAGCCATGAGCAGCCAGATCCGTCAGCCAGCCATGAGCAGCCAGATCCGTCAGCTAGCCATGAGCAGCCAGATCCGTCAGCCAGCCATGAGCAGCCAGATCCGTCAGCCAGCCATGAGCAGCCAGATCCGTCAGCCAGCCATGAGCAGCCAGATCCGTCAGCCAGCCATGAGCAGCCAGATCCGTCAGCCAGCCATGAGCAGCCAGATCCGTCAGCCAGCCATGAGCAGCCAGATCCGTCAGCCAGCCATGAGCCGTCCAGCCGGGATCCGCCGGAGCCGTCCAGCCGGGATCCGCCGGAGCCGTCCAGCCGGGATCCGCCGGAGCCGTCCAGCCGGGATCCGCCGGAGCCGTCCAGCCGGGATCCGCCGGAGCCGTCCAGCCGGGATCCGCCGGAGCCGTCCAGCCGGGATCCGCCGGAGCCGTCCAGCCGGGATTCGCCGGAGCCGTCCAGCCGGGATCCGCCGGAGCCGTCCAGCCGGGATCCGCCGGAGTCGTCCAGCCGGGATCTGCCGGAGCCTTCCAGCCGGGATCCGCCAGCCAGCCGGGATCCGCCAGAGCCAGCCAGCCAGGATCCGCCATTTAGTCCGGTGCTGCCCCTTAGTCCGGTGCTGCCCCTTAGTCCGGTGCTGCCCCTTAGTCCGGTGCGGCCCCTTAGTCCGGTGCTGCCCCTTATCCTGGTGCTGTCCCTTAGTCCGGTGCTGCCCCTTAGTCCGGTGCTGCCTCTTAGTCCGGTGCTGCCCCTTAATCCAGGTGGGTTAGGGTGTTGGGTGGTCAGTTGGAGGAGGTTACCTAAGTGGGTAGTGACTATGGTGGGGTGGGGACCACGACCAGTGCCAGAGCCGCCTCCGTGGAGCAACACCCACCCAGCCCTCCCCATTTTTTGGGTGTAGGCGCGGTCGGAGTCCGCGCCTTTGGGGGGGGGTACTGTCACACTCTGGCTCTGGGACTGTGTAGTTAGAGTCAGGGTGTATTTCATTTGGTGGTGTTGGGTATGGGTGCGTTTCATTTGTTTGTGTTTTTGGGGTAATTGGTCTTGTGACTCCCAATCGGAGGTAACGAGTGTCAGCTGTCGGCTCGTTATCTCTGATTGGGAGCCATATTTAAAGTGTGTGTTTTCACCTTGTGTTTGTGGGTTTTTGTTTCCTTGTTGCTGTTAGTCTATATCAGTATTTGGACTTCACTTTCGTCCTATTTGGTTTGTTGTTTTTGATCGTGGTTTCTTATTAATAAAGTCTACGATGTTCGCTCAACACGCTGCGCTTTGGTCTCCTCCTTTCGACGATCGTGACAGAGGGCTTCTTAAAGAAAAACTAACAGGTCTGTGAGAGCCGGAATTCTTACTGGTTGGTAGGTGATCAAATACTTATGTCATGCAATAAAATGCAAATGAATTACTTAAAAATCATACAATGTGATTTTCAGGATTTTTGTTTTAGATTCTGTCTCTCACAGTTGAAGTGTACCTATGATAAAAACTACAGACCTCTACATGCTTTGTAAGTAGGAAAACCTGCAACATCAGCAGTGAATCAAATACTTGTTCTCCCCACTGTATATACTGAGATCATGTGACAGATAATGCGACACTTAGATTGCACACAGGTGGACTTTATTTAACTTTTTTTTTAAGTGGTAGATCAGCTTTAATATTGCAGATAGATTGTAACTTCTATCAATGTAATTGTCTGCATCACTTCCAATCCCCCATATGTTTTTTCTCTCGCATATATATATATATATATATATATATATATATACATACATACACATACATATACATACACATAAATACATATACATACACATATACAAAATATATTTCCCTTTATTACTTTCCAACCCCACCACCCCTTCCCTAATTGGAGTAAACTAGTGAACAACAATGCTTAGGCCTCTACTTACAGCTTATACATACTATATATATTTTATGGACACAGTCAATTTTACAATAATTATATTTTTGTTTTGTTTTTACTCCTGAGCTTCCTCTACCCTCAACCTCTCCGATCATTTTCATGATGTCCATCATTTTTAATTATATATGCCATATCTTTCTAACTGTGCTCTTTCACCTTTCACAAAAGCTCTCAACCTATATTCTATATACTTTTTATGGACACGGTATGCTTTGCATTAGTTATCTTGTTGTTATTAGTTGTTGTTAGTTGTTATCAGTCCCATCCTCCAGCTCCATTCAACACCACCCATCAATCTCTTAACACCATCCATATTGGATTTCTATTTGCCATATATTTTTCAACTGCACTGTGATGTTTTACAAAAGTTCTGAACCCTTCTATTATCATTGTTTCTACAGATTGTAAATTGAAAATAAACATTTTTGCTAAAAGGATTATTATATTATTGATCGATTGACTATGACTTTTCAGATCACCCAGTAGTGCTATCTGCAGGGTTAGCTCCAGGTAAATATTGTAATCCTTTAGCTATTCCTGGACCTGTGTCCAAAAACAAGCTACAAATGGACAGTACCAAAACAAATGATCTAATGATTCTGTCTCTTCGCAGGAAAATCTGCAGAGCTTGGAAGATTGTATTCCCCATATAAATAACATTCTATTTGTAGCAAGAATTTTGTATATTATTTAAATAGAAAAATTCTAGGTTTTGAATCAGGCGTCGTTTTGCGTATCAGTTCATAAACACTATGCCATGGAATTGGTACGTCAAAAATCTCTTCCCAAATATTTTGCAATCTATATGGGACGGCTGTCAATCCTTTGGTCCTTAAATGAAACTGGGGTACTTTTTTATTTATCACAATTTTCTTTAACCAATTATGTTCTTTAATACAGGGCCAACAGACAAGTTCCTTACTTTTTCCCACTTCCACTTTCCTCTTCCATTTTTGCGATAATGCTTCAATTATTTGGTTGTAATTTTGGGTAGAGCAGACATTTCCATAAGTTTTTGTTAACTGCATGTGCGTCATAACTCCACGAGTCCTACCTATGATATAATTTACAAAGAATATACCTTTTTGAAACATTTTTTCAAAAAATAATTTTTTTTTAATCAATGAGTATATTTGAGTTTAACCACAATATTTGTTGCATTATTTGTTCTGTCGTTTCTCTGATAGTCTTTGTTTTAAGATCATATCTGATTGGATTTAAAATTGGGGGAAAAAATGAATGTGGAAACCCCTATGAGTCTACGTAATTGCGAGGGAAATTAGCTCAGTCTGTATGAAATAACGACGAGAAGCCATAAACACGTGAAGAGGTGAAAACTATTAAATGTGTAGCACAAGTCTGCAGAACTTTGCTTTTAGTGTCAGCTGATCCTTTCTTTCTGAAACATGTGACAAGTATATGAAGGTAAGTGTAGAGAATGGTCCAAACAACTATGACCTGTATGAGGGTAGGAATAAAGAGTCCATAGATGTTATTGATGGCTGTGTTAGCACAGACCAGTTTCAACATGGAGGGGTTGTCACAGCAGGAGAGTGCCATCAGAGATCTACAGCGTGGTAACCGAAGCAGCAGGAAAAAGAGCACCCCCATCAAAATCAAGTCACACACCCATATCAGTGTGATGATTTTCATGATGTGAGCATTGGTCATAATTGTGTTGTACCTCAAAGGGCAACATATGGCAATATATTTTACATTTACATTTTAGTCATTTAGCAGACGCTCTTATCCAGAGCGCCTTACAGTTAGTGAGTGCATACATTTTTTAAATTTTTTTATATATATATTTTTTCATACTAACCGCAATAATATTTAATTGAATCCTCACATCCTCCCTCCTTCTCAAAGCACATTGGAGTAGATCTTAGGTTCCTCTCCTCTGATCTTCTCCTCCAATGCATTTTGAGAAGGAGGCAAGTAGAGGATGCGAGGAATCAAGGAAATACAATTGACATACACACCAGGAATTGGACTACTGTGAGGTCATCCTAGAGAACGAGGCTGGCCGACTATCCATCCTGCTGCTGGATGAAGGGGTTGGGGATGGCTTCCATGCCGTCCTGAGGACAGATGAGCATCACGGACGTCCCTCTACAAACCACCCTATATCTGTCATATGCCATAGCAGTCAGGATGAACACAGCTCCCGTCCCATAGATATTAATAAATAAAGCTTGTGTGACACAAACAGCGTATTGAATGGTCCTTGTGTCAAGTAAAAGCTCTTTGATGACCTGTGTATAGAGTGCTGTGGAGCCTATAAGGTCATTGATGGGTAGTTTTAGCAGCAGAAGGTTCATGGGATGGTGGATATTCCTATTGAGTACGATGGTGAGAATCAAGACCAGGTTACAGATGAGAATGATTATACAGCTCAGTGTGGCAAAAACAAATGCTACAAAGGCACTTTCAGGGGGGAGATCGAAGCCTTGCAGTGTCAAAACAGATGATGGATTTGATCAAAAGTTATCCATTGGTCCAGTTCAGATTTCTTGATTTTTAAAAAGGGGATCAAATAATGATTTTATACAAAAAAAAAATACTGTACACCTCTCAAAAACTGAAATGACTGACTTGTTATTATATAGGCCATTCATTGCATCTTGAATTTCAGTGAGTCTGTCTTTCTTTCACAGATAGCCCTACCAGGCATAACAATTATACAATATGGGAGAGCGAGACAAGGAGGGCGAGAGAGAGAGAGAGAGAGAGAGAGAGAGGAGGGAGGGAGGGAGAGAGAGAGAGAGAGAGGAGGAGAGAGAGAGAGAGAGAGAGAGGAGGGAGAGAGAGAGAGGAGGGAGAGAGAGAGAGAGAGAGAGAGAGAGGGGTACAGCAAACAACTGACATTTGTCTTCTACTTGTGTTACTCAGCTCCTCCAGATAGCGCATTATATATTGTTTAACTATCAAATCTACTGTTTTTATTCTACATGAACGTCAAGTCAGTCAGGCTCAAGCCGCACACACACACACAGACACACACAGACACACACACACACACACACACACACACACACACACACACACACACACAGACACACACACAAAGCTATTTTGAGGAAGGGGATCTACTGTGCTGTCTTAGATTGTTATTGTTATTAAAATGGTGAAGACTGACAAAACAAAACAAGTTACACAAAATGTAGTCAACATGCTGTAGCCAACCCATAACCCATCTTAACCCATTATACATTTTAACCTATAACAAATCAATGAAATTACTAATTGTCTTGCACAAAAAGACGGAACACAACTCTAATTTTCATTGACTGATTTACAAAGGAGCATATCTTTCTTTTATTGGGAAGGCCTTAAAAACTATCTGAAGCGAATGCCATGTATTATACATGTTCATGTACAGTATTTCTTCTCATTTAACTGAAGATACCTTTCGTTTGTAGAAACCCAGAACATTTTGGCGAATTTCTTTAGTTTTTAGACCATATATGAGGGGATTCAGAATGGGAGGGAACACCATAACTGATAATCCAAATGCTCTCCTCAAGAAAGGGTCTGTTTGCTGAAATCGATGAGCAATCAGGCCAAAGCAGGCGTTGAACTCTAAGAATAAGAACACTACAAGATGCGTACCACATGTCTGAATGGCCTTGCTCCGGGCATCAGACGACTTATTCATGACACAGGTGATCAGGATCTGGATATATGTATATATAACCACTAGCAACGATACACCCTGAAAGACGGCTGTTATAAACAACCCATAGTAGTTGTTTATACGTGTGTCATCGCAAATGAGCCTCACCAATGACGGATTGTTACAATGCGTATCCACTATTGTCGTTCTGCAGATCTTGAAGCGAGTGACCAGAGCCAGCAGAACCACAATCAGAGCAATGACCAAGAGCCACATGAAAATTATGATTTTCATCAAGTTATTTGGACTCATGATGGCGTTATACCTCAGTGGACAGCAGATAGCGATATACCTGTCGTAAGCCATGGCGGTCAGGATAGTTAAGGAGCCAGCTCCGTACAGGTGGACGAGCAGAGCCTGGAGGTAGCATGCAGGGTAGGAGATTGACCTGTTCTGAGCCAGGATGCTCACCACCAGCTGAGGGAAGAAGGCTGTAGCACCTATTAAGTCATTGATAGGCATGTTGAAGAGTAGGATAAACATGGGTTTATGCAGCTTTCTGTCCAGGGCTATGGTGACTAAAACCGTAACGTTGCAAAACACAATGAAACAGTATGTAAGGGTTCCAAAAAGGAATGCTGGGTAAACACCAGATGGAGCTATGGCCAGTGATTCCATGCTCAACATGTATGTAGAATTTGTATACATAACTACTGTAGAATGATTTTGTAATTGCCTTCTGGAAAGCAGCCCACCTGAAACAATACAGAAATAGTCATATAGTCTTCAACACATATGTTTGTCCAATGAATGTGTTGAATTCAAAGAGCACAATATTGCCTAATGCAACAAATATTATGTTTTGACTGCAACAAATATGACAGAAAGAACACATCTCTACAACTAAAAAGAACAAAACCAAATCCCAAAGAATTAAGAAATAGATTACTTTGTTGTTGGTGCAACTGTTGCATATAACACACACATTTTTCTTTGCCAAATGGAAACACATTAATTGAGTAGCCTACTGCAGTTTAGCTTAATCTATCAAATTATTTAAATCATTCATACTTCTCTCTTCTTAGATGTCAGTCCACGGCCAGAGCTGGAGGCCACCTTCAGTTATGACAGACCCCTGTATGATGGCTCCCTGACAAGCCCTCTTTATTGCCTCATGATCAGTAAAGGACAGCCCTTTAGTGTCCTAGAGGCCTTTCACCTAGCTGATGTAACCTGGGAACCTCCTTAGATATGTGTTGCTGTGTAGTCTAGTTCATGATAACATTTTAAAAACAACTTTATTGCAATATTATAACATCCTTATATGTACAGTGGCTTGCGAAAGTATTCACCCCCCTTGGCATTTTTCCTATTTTGTTGCCTTACAACCTGGAATTAAAATAGATTTTTGGGAGGGTTTGTATCATTTGATTTACACAACATGCCTACCACTTTGACGATGCAAAATATTTTTTATTGTGAAACAAACAAGAAATAAGACAAAAACACAGAAAACTTGAGCGTGCATAACTATTCACCTCCCCAAAGTCAATACTTTGTAGAGCCACCTTTTGCAGCAATTACAGCTGCAAGTTTCCTGGGGTATGTCTCTATAAGCTTGGCACATCTAGCCACTTGGATTTTTGCCCATTCTTCAGGCAAAACTGCTCCAGTTCATTCAAGTTGGATGGGTTCCGCAGGTGTATAGCAATCTTTAAGTCATACCACAGATTCTCAATTGGATTGAGGTCTGGGCTTTGACTAGGCCATTCCAAGACATTTAAACCACTTGAGTGTTGCTTTAGCAGTATGCTTAGGGTCATTGTCCTGCTTGAAGGTGAACCTCCGTCCCAGTCTCAAATATCTGGAAGACTGAAAGGTTTCCCTCAAGAATTTCCCTGTATTTAGCGCCATTCCATCATTCCTTCAATTCTGACCAGTTTCCCAGTCCCTGCCGATGAATAACATCCCCACAGCATGATTCTGCCACTACCATGCTTCACTGTGGGGATGGTGTTTTCAAGGTGATGAGAGGTGTTGGGTTTGCGCCAGACATAGAATTTTCCTTGATGACCAAAAAGCTAAATTTTTGTCTCATCTGACCAGAGTACCTTCTTCCATATGTTTGGGGAGTCTCCCACATGCCTTTTGGCGAACACCAAATGTGTTTCCTTACTTTTTTTCTTTAAGCAATTACTTTTTCTGGCCACTCTTCATTAAAGTCAGCTCTGTGCAGTGTACAGCTTAAAGTGGTCCTATTGACAGATACTCCAATCTCCGATGTGGAGCTTTGCAATTCCTTCAGGGTTATCTTCGGTCTTTGTTGCCTGTCTGATTAATGCCCTCCTTTCCTGGTCCATGTGTTTTGGTTGGCGGCCCTCTCTTGGCAGGTTTGTTGTGATGCCATATTCTTTCAATTTTTTTATAATGGATTTAATGGTGCTCCGTGGGATGTTCAAAGTTTCTGATATTGTTTTATAACTTTGTCCCTGACCTGTTTGGAGAGGTCCTTGGTCTTCATGGTGTCGCTTGCTTGGTGGTGCCCCTTGCTTAGTTGTGTTGCAGACACTGGTGCCTTTCAGAGCAGGTGTATACAGTGCGGAGAACAAGTATTTGATACACTGCCGATTTTGCAGGTTTTCCTACTTACAAAGCATGTAATTTTTTATCATAGGTACACTTCAACTGTGAGAGACAGAATCTAAAACAAACATCCAGAATGTCACATTGTATGATTTTTTTGTAATTCATTTGCATTTTATTGCATGACATAAGTATTTGATACATCAGAAAAGCATAACTTAATATTTGGTACAGAAACCTTTGTTTGCAATTACAGAGATCATACGTTTCCTGTAGGTCTTGACCAAGTTTGCACACACTGCAGCAGGGATTTTGGCCCACTCCCCCATACAGACCTTCTCCAGATCCTTCATGTTTTCGGGGCTGTCGCTGGGCAATACGGACTTTCAGCTCCCTCCAAAGATTTTCTATTGGGTTCAGGTCTGGAGACTGGCTAGGCGACTCCAGGACCTTGAGATGCTTCTTACGGAGCCACTCCTTAGTTGCCTGGCTGTGTGTTTCGGGTCGTTGTCATGCTGGAAGACCCAGCCACGACCCATCTTCAATGCTCTTACTGAGGGAAGCAGGTTGTTGGCCAAGATCTCGCGATACATGGCCCCATCCATCCTCCCCTCAATACGGTGCAGTCGTCCTGTCCCCTTTGCAGAAAAGCATCCCCAAAGAATGATGTTTCCACCTCCATGCTTCACGGTTGGGATGGTGTTCTTGGGGTTGTACTCATCCCTCTTCTTCCTCCAAACACGGCGAGTGGAGTTTAGACCAAAAAGCTCTATTTTTATCTCATCAGACCACATGAACTTATCCCATTCCTCCTCTCGATCATCCAGATGGTCATTGGCAAACTTCAGACGGGCCTGGACATGCGCTGGCTTGAGCAGGGGGACCTTGCGTGCGCTGCAGGAATTTAATCCATGACGGCGTAGTGTGTTACTAATGGTTTTCTTTGAGACTGTGGTCCCAGCTCTCTTCAGGTCATTGACCAGGTCCTGCCGTGTAGTTCTGGGCTGATCCCTCACCTTCCTCATGATCATTGATGCCCCACGAGGTGAGATCTTGCATGGAGCCCCAGACCGAGGGTGATTGACCGTCATCTTGAACTTCTTCCATTTTCTAATAATTGCGCCAACAGTTGTTGCCTTCTCCCCAAGCTGCTTGCCTATTGTCCTGTAGCCCATCCCAGCCTTGTGCAGGTGTACAATTCTATCCCTGATGTCCTTACACAGCTCTCTGGTCTTGGCCATTGTGGAGAGGTTGGAGTCTGTTTGATTGATTGTGTGGGCAGGTGTCTTTTACACAGGTAACGAGATCAAACTGGTGCAGTTAATACAGGTAATGAGTGGAGAACAGGAGGGCTTCTTAAAGAAAAACTAACATGTCTGTGTGAGCCGGAATTCTTACTGGTTGGTAGGTGATCAAATAATTATGTAATGCAATAAAATGCAAATTAATTACTTAAAAATCATACAATGTGATTTTCAGAATTTTTGTTTTAGATTCCGTCTCTCACAGTTGAAATGTACCTATGATAAAAATTACAGACCTCTACATGCTTTGTAAGTAGGAAAACCTGCAAAATCGGCAGTGTATCAAATACTTGTTCTCCCCACTGTATATACTGAGATCATGTGACAGATAATGCGACACTTAGATTGCACACAGGTGGACTTTATTAAAAAATTTTTTTAGGGGGTAGATCAGCTTTAATATTTCAGATAGATTGTAACTTCTATCAATGTAATTGTCTGCATCACTTCTAACCCCCCATATGTTTTTTTTCTCTCGCAAATATATATATATATATACAAACACATACACATACACATACATACACATAAATGCATATACATACATATATACAAAATATATTTCCCTTTATTACTTTCCAACCCCACCACCCCTTCCCTAATTGGAGTAAACTAGTGAACGACAATGCTTAGGCCTCTACTTCCAGCTTATACAGACTATATATATTTTATGGACACAGTCAATTTTACAATAATTATATTTTTGTTTTGTTTTTACTCCTGAGCTTCCTCTACCCTCAACCTCTCCGATCATTTTCATGATGTCAATCAGTTTTAATTCTATTTGCCATATCTTTCTAACTGTGCTCTTTCACCTTTCACAAAAGCTCTCAACCTATATTCTATATACTTATTATGGACACATTATGCTTTACATTAGTTATCTTGTTGTTATTAGTTGTTGTTAGTTGTTATTAGTCCCATCCTTCAACTCCATTCAACACCACCCATCTATCTCTTAACACCATCCATATTGGATTTCTATTTGCCATATAATTATTCAACCAAACTGTGATGTTTTACAAAAGTTCTGAACCCTTCTATTATCATTGTTTCTACAGACTGTAAATTGAAAAGAAACATTTTTGCTAAAAGTATTATTATATTATTGATCGATTGACTATGACTTTTCAGATCACCCAGTAGTGCTATCTGCAGGGTTAGCTCCAGGTAAATATTGTAATCCTTTAGCCATTCCTGGACCTGTGTCCAAAAACAAGCTACAAATGGACAGTACCAAAACAAATGATCTAATGTTTCTGTCTCGTCGCAGCAAAATCTGCAGAGCTTGGAAGATTGTATTCCCAATAAACAGTGGGGAAAAAAAGTATTTAGTCAGCCACCAATTGTGCAAGTTCTCCCACTTAAAAAGATGAGAGAGGCCTGTAATTTTCATCATAGGTACACGTCAACTATGACAGACAAAATCAGAAAATCAGAAAATCACATTGTAGGATTTTTAATGAATTTATTTGCAAATTATGGTGGAAAATAAGTATTTGGTCAATAACAAAAGTTTCTCAATACTTTGTTATATACCCTTTGTTGGCAATGACACAGGTCAAACGTTTTCTGTAAGTCTTCACAAGGTTTTCACACACTGTTGCTGGTATTTTGGCCCATTCCTCCATGCAGATCTCCTCTAGAGCAGTGATGTTTTGGGGCTGTCGCTGGGCAACACAGACTTTCAACTCCCTCCAAAGATTTTCTATGGGGTTGAGATCTGGAGACTGGCTAGGCCACTCCAGGACTTTGAAATGCTTCTTATGAAGCCACTCCTTCATTGCCCGGGCGGTGTGTTTGAGATCATTGTCATGCTGAAAGACCCAGCCACGTTTCATCTTCAATGCCCTTGCTGATGGAAGGAGGTTTTCACTCAAAATCTCACGATACATGGCCCCATTCATTCTTTCCTTTACACGGATCAGTCGTCATGGTCCCTTTGCAGAAAAACAGCCCCAAATCATGATGTTTCCACCCCCATGCTTCACAGTAGGCACGGTGTTCTTTGGATGCAACTCAGCATTCTTTGTCCTCCACACACGACGAGTTGAGTTTTTACCAAAAAGTTCTATTTTGGTTTCATCTGACCATATGACATTCTCCCAATCCTCTTCTGGATCATCCAAATGCACTTTAGCAAACTTCAGACGGGCCTGGACATGTACTGGCTTAAGCAGGGGGACACGTCTCGCACTGCAGGATTTGAGTCCCTGGCGGCGTAGTGTGTTACTGATGGTAGGCTTTGTTACTTTTGTCCCAGCTCTCTGCAGGTCATTCACTAGGTCCCCCTGTTTGGTTCTGGGATTTTTGCTCACCGTTCTTGTGATCATTTTGACCCCACTGGGTGAGATCTTGCGTGGAACCCCAGATCGAGGGAGATTATCAGTGGTCTTGTATGTCTTTCCATTCCTAATAATTGCTCCCACAGTTAATTTCTTCAAACCAAGCTGCTTACCTATTGCAGATTCAGTCTTCCCAGCCTGGTGCAGGTCTACACTTTTGCTTCTGTTGTCCTTTGACAGCTCTTTGGTGTTGGCCATAGTGGAGTTTGGAGTGTGACTGTTTGAGGTTGTGGACAGGTGTCTTTTATACTGATAACAAGTTCAAACAGGTGCCATTAATACAGGTAACGAGTGGAGGACAGAGGAGCCTCTTAAAGTAGAAGTTACAGGTCTGTGAGAGCCAGAAATCTTGCTTGTTTGTAGGTGACCATATACTTATTTTCCACCATAATTTGCAAATAAATTCATAAAAAATCCTACAATGTGATTTTCTTGATTTTTTTTCTCAATTTGTCTGTCATAGTTGATGTGTACCTATGATGAAAATTACAGGCCTCTCTCATCTTTTTAAGTGGGAGAACTTGCACAATTGGTGTCTGACTAAATACTTTTTTTTCCCCACTGTAAATAACATTCTATTTGTAGCAAGAATTTTGTATAATAATTTAAATTGAAAAATTATAAGTTTTGAATCAGGCGTCGTTTTGCTTATCAGTTCATAAACACTATGCCATGGAATTGGTACGTCAAAAATCTCTTCCCAAATATTTTGCAATCTATATGGGACGGCTGTCAATCCTTTGGTCCTTAAATGAAACTGGCATACTTTTTTATTTATCACAATTTTCTTTAACCAATTATGTTCTTTAATGCAGGGGCCGACAGACAAGTTCCTTACTTTTTCCCACTTCCACTTTCCTCTTTTCCATTTTTGCGATAATTATTCAATTATTTGGTTGTAATTTTGGGTAGAGCAGACATTACCATATGTTTTTTTGTTAACTGCATGTGCGACATAACTCCACGAGTCCTACCTATGATATAATTTACAAAGAAAATACCTTTTGAAACATTTTTTCAAAAACTGTTTTTTTATCAATTAGTATATTTGAGTTTAACCACAATATTTGTTGCATTATTTGTTCTGTCGTTTCTCCGATATTCTTTGTTTTAAGACCATATCTGATTGGATTTAAAATTGGGGGGAAAATGAATGTGGAAACCCCTATGAGTCTCCGTAATTGTGAGGGAAATTGGCTCAGTCTGTATGAAATAACGACGAGAAGCCATAAACACGTGAAGAGGTGAAAACTATTAAATGTGTAGCACAAGTCTGCAGAACTTTGCTTTTAGTGTCAGCTGATCCTTTCTTTCTGAAACATGTGACAAGTATATGAAGGTAAGTGTAGAGAATGGTCCAAACAACTATGACCTGTATGAGGGTAGGAATAAAGAGTCCATAGATGTTATTGATGGCTGTGTTAGCACAGACCAGTTTCAACATGGAGGGGTTGTCACAGCAGGAGAGTGCCATCAGAGATCTACAGCGTGGTAACCGAAGCAGCAGGAAAAAGAGCACCCCCATCAAAATCAAGTCACACACCCATATTGTCACGATCGTCATGGAGAGACCAATGCGCAGCGTTGAAGGTGAACATTTTTATATTTATTGAATGATGATCACACGATCAAAACAACAAAAACGAAACGAGACGTCCCTGGTTACATAAATCAACCAACACGGAACAAGAAACCACAAATAATGAATGCCAAAAGGCTACCTAAGTATGACTCCCAATCAGAGACAACGAGCTACAGCCGTCTCCGATTGGGAGCCACCCTGGCCAACATAGAATTACAACAACTAGAACATAAACAAATGAAAACTCACACCCTGGCTCAACATACTAGAGTCCCCAGAGCCAGGGCGTGACACATATCAGTGTGATGATTTTCATGATGTGAGCATTGGTCATAATTGTGTTGTACCTCAAAGGGCAACATATGGCAATATATTTTACATTTACATTTTAGTCATTTAGCAGACGCTCTTATCCAGAGCGACTTACAGTTAGTGAGTGCATACATTTTTTACAATTTTTATATATATATTTTTTCATACTAACCGCAATAATATTTAATTGAATCCTCACATCCTCCCTCCTTCTCAAAGCACATTGGAGTAGATCTTTGGTTCCTCTCCTCTGATCTTCTCTTCCAATGCATTTTGAGAAGGAGGCAAGTAGAGGATGCGAGGAATCAAGGAAATACAATTGACATACACACCAGGAATTGGACTACTGTGAGGTCATCCTAGAGAACGAGGCTGGCCGACTATCCGTCCTGCTGCTGGATGAAGGGGTTGGGGATGGCTTCCATGCCGTCCTGAGGACAGATGAGCACCACGGACGTCCCTCTACAACCACCCTATATCTGTCATATGCCATAGCAGTCAGGATGAACACAGCTCCCGTCCCATAGATATTAATAAATAAAGCTTGTGTGACACAAACAGCGTATTGAATGGTCCTTGTGTCAAGTAAAAGCTCTTTGATGACCTGTGTATGAAGTGCTGTGGAGCCTATAAGGTCATTGATGGGTAGTTTTTAGCAGCAGAAGGTTCATGGGCTGGTGGAGATTCCTATTGAGTACGATGGTGAGAATCAAGACCAGTGTCAAAACAGATGATGGATTTGATCAAAAGTTATCTATTGGTCCAGTTCAGATTTCTTGATTTTTAAAAAGGGGCTCCAATATGATTTATACTAGAAAAAACCTACTGTAACACCTCTCAAAAACTGAAATGACTGACTTGTTATAACTGTGGTGCCATTATATAGGGCCATTCATTGCATCTTGAATTTCAGTGAGTCTGTCTTTCTTTCACAGATAGCCCTACCTTCTCATGGGGACAAAGAACAGGCATAACAATTATACATATGGGAGAGCGAGACAAGGAGGGCGAGAGAGAGAGAGGGGAGAGGGGGGAGAGATTTTTTGAAAGAGAAGGAAGGGAGGGAAAGAGAGAGAGAAAAAAGGGGGGAAAGGGGAAGAAGGGGGGAGGGGGGAGAGGAGGGCGGAAAAGGTAGGGGGGATGGGGGAGGGATTCATTTTAGGGGGGATACAGAAGGGGGGGAAAACCCCTTTTAAAGGGGGCCCAGGGCCCCCCCCCCTTTAAAGGGGGCCCCTGGGTTTTTTCCCCTTTGGGGGGGTTTGTTTCCCCCGGGGAAATTTTTAAAAAACCGAAAGAAAAAGGGGGGGGGGTTTTTTTTTAAAAACCCCCCCAAGGGGCCCCCCCCCCCAAAAAAAACCCCCCCCAAAAACCCCCCGGTCCCCCGGAAGCCCCCCCCCGGGAAGAAAAGAAACCCAGCCCAAAAGCCCAAGGGGGGGAACAATGCGTCAAGTTAGTTTAAAAGGGGGGGAAGGCCCGCCCAAAAAAACAAACCCACACAACCAACACACCAAAACCCCCAACCCAAACCCCCAAAACCCCAAAAACCCCAAAAAAACAAAAAACTAATTTTTGAAAAAGGGGAAAAACTAAAATTTTCTTGATTGTATTGAAAAAAAAAGGGGGTGCAAAACAAAACAAAGACCCAAAAACAATTAGGTCAAAAACGAGCCAACCCCTAAACCCTTTTTAACAAAACACAATTTAAACCCCTTAAAAAATCGGGAAAAATTCCCCATTTTTTCCCCAAAAACGGGAACAAAAACAAACTGGCCCAAAGGGCCCGAACAATTCAAAACAACCAGGGAAAACCCTTAAAGCTTATAGGAGGGACAAAATCCCAACCCAAAAAAGTTTTAAAAAAACGACCAAACCCAAAAAAACCCAAAAAACGGGAACATGCGGGGCACTTCTTTAAAAAAAACACCGCGAAACCCCCCCGGGAACCCAAAAGAACGCCCGCGAAAAACCGGGAAACAATTTTCCCCAAAAAAAATTTTTTTTAAAACCCAAAAACTATAGGGCCCCAATTTTAATTTTAACAACCCCAAAAAGAAAACCCGGTTTTTAAAACCCCCAAACCCGAAATTTTTGAAACCCTTAAAGGGGGACAGAATGGGGGAGGGAAAACCCTAAAAAAATTCCCCAAAAGGGTTTAAAAAAAAGGGCCCCGGCCGAAAAGAGACAAAAAGGGAAAGATGTTACCAAAAAGAAAATAAAACTTTCCCCTTTTGGAAAGGCCCTTTAAAAACTTTTTCTAAGGCGGGAATTTTTAAAAGTATTATACATGGCAAGTACAGTATTTTTTATTTAAAAACCCCATAATTTTTTAAAAAAACTTTTGGGGAAAATTTCCCAAAGGTTTTTTTATTTAGGCCATATTGAAAGGGGACCCCGAAGGGAAACCCCAAAAATAACAACCAAAAGCCCCTAAAAAGGGTTTTTCTAAAGTTATTTGGCCAAAAAAGGCGTTAAAACCCAAAAATGGAAAAAACCAAAATTGCGTTTCCTGTCTAAGGGCCTTGGCCCCGGTCAAGGGTATTTAAGGGACCCAAAAGGTGGGGGGAAAAGGGGTCTGGGAGCTAGGGGAAATTAAACCTTTAGCCCAACCTAAACCCCTGAAAGAGGGGGTTAAAAAAAACCTATTAAATTTTTATAGGGGCATGGAAGAGTAAAAGAAAAAGGGTTTACAACTTTTCCCCTTTTCGTTTTCCCGGTATTGAACAAAACCGAACCGGGAAAACCAAAAATAAAAAAGAAGGGCCAAAAAGGAAACTTGGAAAAAATGGGGTTTTGCCAAATTTTTTGGCTCCCTGATGGTTTTATACCTCGTGGGAAAGATTTTTTAAAATTCCTTCGGAAAAACCCCCCCCCCGGAAAAATAATAAAAGCCAAACTTTTCCCCAAAGGTTTTTTGGAAGGGAACAAAAAGCCTATTGGTAAACAACAATAAGTTTTACCTGTTTGACAGGAAAAAAACCCCCACCCCTAAAAAGAACAAAAAAACCCCAAAAATTTCGAAAAAGATTTCTTTTTTTGGGTGGAAAAAATGGGGTTTATCCCCTTTTTCTTTTCCAAAAGGGCCTTAATTTGGGGCCCAAAAACCGTTTTTAACTTCAAAAAAAAAAAAACCTTTTAAGGGGCCAAAAAGGAAGCTGGGGTTTGGTTTTACAAACCCGGGAGGCTTGCCCCCCCTTTTATTTTTTCCCATTATGTAAAAATTTTGTTAATTACATAACCCACTGATGAATGGGGTTTTTTAAGTGTTCTGGAAAAACAGCCCCCAAAGAAAAAATTTTAAAAAAATTTTTTTTAAAATTTAACACCATATGTTTTCCCTGGTTGGGAAATTTAAAGACCCATTTTTTGCCCCTTCAAACCCCAAAAAATTTTTTTTTTGGGGGGTTTTTAACAAATTTTTTTACAAAAAACAATCCTACCCCAAAATTAAAAAGGGAAAAAACCCAAAAAAAGAAAAAACAAAAACGTTTTTGGGTTTCAAAATTTTAAATAAAACTTTTTAAAACCCCCCTTTTCGCCCAAAAAGGCAATTTTTGGGGGAGCCTATAAAAATTGGGAACATCAAATTTGGAAAATTTTTCCCTTCTTTAGAAAAGTCAGTTAACAACGGGCCCCCCAGGTGGAAAGGGAACCCTTTTTTTATACCCCGACCCCTTGGATGGGTCTGGGCCTTTTTAGGGGGGTTTCCCGCCCTTAAAACCATTTAGTGTTTGGGGTTTAACCAGTATTCTTGGGACCGCTTTGAAGGTTTCCCCCGTTAGTCTAAATTTGGGAAACTTTTTAAATTTTCCCCCCAAAATTCCCGTATTTACGGGCCTTCCAAATTTTCAACCCCCGGCCCTTTTTCCTTTTTTTCCCTCCCCCGGAATAAAAATTGGGTTTTTTTGTTCTTTTTTCCAAAATCCCCACCACTTGGGGATGGTTTTTGTTTTTCCCAAAAAGGGGGGGGGGGGGGGGGGGGGTTTTTTTTTTTTTTTTTTTTTTTTTTTTTTTTTTAAAAGGGGGGAGGGGTTTTTTGGGTTTGCGCCAGGGACCCCAATAAGGAATTTTTTCCCCTTTGATTGGAAACCCCAAAAAGGCCTTTAACCATTTTGGTTTTTTTTTCCTTTTCCCAAATTTTTTTGGGCCGAAAGTTTAAAAACCTTCCTTTTTTCCCCTTTAAAAGTTTATGCACTGTATGGGCTAAAACCTACGTGCAAACACAATGAAACAGTATGTAAGGGTTCCAAAAAGGAATGCTGGGTAAACACCAGATGGAGATATGGCCAGTGATTCCATGCTCAACATGTATGTAGAATTTGTATACATAACTACTGTAGAATGATTTTGTAATTGCCTTCTGGAAAGCAGCCCACCTGAAACAATACAGAAATAGTCATATAGTCTTCAACACATATGTTTGTCCAATGAATGTGTTGAATTCAAAGAGCACAATATTGCCTAATGCAACAAATATTATGTTTTGACTGCAACAAATATGACAGAAAAAACACATCTCTACAAATAAAAAGAACAAAACTAAATCCCAAAGAATTAAGAAATAAATTACTTTGTTGTTGTTGAAACTGTTGCATATAACACACATTTTTCTTTGCCAAATGGAAACACATTAATTGAGTAGCCTACTGCAGTTTAGCTTAATCTATCATATTATTTAAATCATTCATACTTCTCTCTTCTTAGATGTCAGTCCACGGCCAGCGCTGGAGGCCACCTTCAGTTATGACAGACCCCTGTGTGATGGCTCCCTGACAAGCCCTTTTTATTGCCTCATTATCAGTAAAGGACAGCCCTTAAGTGTCCTAGAGGCCTTTCACCTAGCTGATGTAACCTGGGAACCTCCTTCGATATGTGTTGCTGTGTAGTCTAGTTCATGATAACATTTTAAAAACAACTTTATTGCAATATTATAACATCCTTATATGTACAGTGGCTTGCGAAAGTATTCACCCCCCTTGGCATTTTTCCTGTTTTGTTGCCTTACAACCTGGAATTAAAATTGATTTTTGGGAGGGTTTGTATCATTTGATTTACACAACATGCCTACCACTTTGACGATGCAATTTATTTTTTATTGTGAAACAAACAAGAAATAAGACAAAAACACAGAAAACTTGAGTGTGCATAACTATTCAACTCCCCAAAGTCAATACTTTGTAGAGCCACCTTTTGCGGCAATTACAGCTGCAAGTTTTTTGGGGTATGTCTCTATAAGCTTGGCACATCTAGCCACTTGGATTTTTGCCCATTCTTCAGGCAAAACTGCTCCAGCTCATTCAAGTTGGATGGGTTCCGCTGGTGTATAGCAATCTTTAAGTCATACCACAGATTCTCTATTGGATTGAGGTCTGGGCTTTGACTAGGCCATTCCAAGACATTTAAACCACTTGAGTGTTGCTTTAGCAGTATGCTTAGGGTCATTGTCCTGCTTGAAGGTGAACCTCCGTCCCAGTCTCAAATCCTTGGAAGACTGAAAGGTTTCCCTCAAGAATTTCCCTGTATTTAGCGCCATTCCATCATTCCTTCAATTCTGACCAGTTTCCCAGTCCCTGCCGATGAAAAACATCCCCACAGCATGATGACTTCTCAAATGACTACCTCGCCTGGTTCAACAACTTCTTCTCAGATAGAGTTCAATGTGTCAAATTGGAGGGCCTGTTGTCTGGACCTCTGGCAGTTTCTATGGGGGTGCCACAGGGTTCAATTCTCGGGCCGACTCTATTCTCTGTGTATATCAATGATGTTGCTCTTGCTGCTGGTGACGCTCGGATCCACCTCTAGGCGGACGACACCATTTTGTATACATCTGGCTCTTCATTGGACACTGTGTTAACAAACCTCCAAACGAGCTTCACCCCAATACAACACTCCTTCCATAGCCTCCAACTGCTCTTAAACACTAGTAAAACTAAATGCATGCTCTTCAACCGAACGCTGCTTGCACCCGCCCACCCGACTAGAATCACTACTCTCGGCGGGTCTGACCTAGAGTATGTGGAAAACTAGGTGTCTGGTTAGACTGTAAACTCTCCTTCCAGACTCACATTAAGCATCTCCAATCAAAAGTTAGATCTAGAATCGGCTTCCTATTTCGCAACAAAGCCTCCTTCCCTCATTCTGCCAAACATGCCCTCATAAAACTGACTATCCTACCGATCCTTGACTTCGACGATGTCATTTATAAAATAGCCTCCAACCCTCTACTCAGCAAATTGGATGTAGTCTATCACAGTGCCATCCGTTTTGTCACCAAAGCCCCATATACTACCCACCATTGTGACCTGTACGCTCTTGTTGGCTGGCCTTCACTACATATTCGTCGCCAAACCCACTGGCTCCAGGTCATCTATAAATCACTGCTAGGCAAATCCCTGTCTTATCTTAGCTTACTGGTCACCATAGCAACACCCACCCGTAGTCTGCGCTCCAGCAGGTATATCTCACTGGTCATCCCCAAAGCCAACACCTCCTTTGGCCGCCATTCCTTCCAGTTCTCTGCTGCCAATGACTGGAACGAACTGCAAAAATCTCTGAAGCTGGAGACTCTTATCTCCCTCACTAACTTTAGGCGTCAGTTGTCAGAGCAGCTTACCGATCACTGCAACTGTACACAGCCCATCTGTAATTAGCCCATCCAACTACCTCATCCCCATATTGTTATTTATTTTGCTAATTTGCACCCCAGTATCTCTATTTGCACATCATCTTTTGCACATCTATCATTCCAGTGTTAATACGAAATTGTAACTATTTTGCACTATGGCCTATTTATTGCCTTACCTCCATAATTTACTACATTCGCACACACTGTATACATATTTTCTGTTGTATTTTTGACTTTATGTTTTGTTTACCCCATGTGTAACTCTGTGTTGTTGTTTTTATCGCACTGCTTTGCTTTACCTTGGCCAGGTCGCAGTTGTAAATGAGAACTTGTTCTCAACTGGCTTACCTGGTTAAATAAAGGTGAAATAAAAGAAAAAAAGAAAATGATGCTGCCACCACCATGCTTCAATGTGGGGATGGTGTTCTCGGGGTAATGAGAGGTGTTGGGTTTGCGCCAGACATAGCATTTTCCTTGATGACCAAAAAGCTCAATTTTAGTCTTATCTGACCAGAGTAGTGGTGTTGCAGACTGGGGCCTTTCAGAACAGGTGTATATATACTGAGATCATGTGACAGATAATGCGACACTTAGATTGCACACAGGTGGACTTTATTTAACTAATTATGTGACTTCTGAAGGTAATTGGTTGCACCAGATACATATGCACACACCACTTCTCCGTTATTTTTTATTCAAATGTTTTGAAACAAGTTTTCATTTCACTTCACCAATTTTGACTATTTTGTATATGTCCATTACATGAAATCCAAATAAAAATCCATTTAAATTACAGGTTGTAATGCCACAAAATAGGAAAAACGCCAAGGGGGATGAATACTTTTGCAAGGCACTGTAATTCATTGGTGACTGAGTTGATGTAGGCATGCTGTTCAGAGTTTTCCCATTGTTTTGCATGCAATTATGCTCATGCTAAATTGTGATTAGGTAAACTAAGCCACGTTTTTGGTTGCTGACTCTCATCCATCATCCATATATTGCCAGTTATCTGTCAATGGGTGAACTATGCCTTTACAGAACGCCTGATGTGTATGAAACCAGTGAACTATCCATTTAGAACCGCCCAATGTGTATGAGGCCAGTGTGAGTATCTGTAGACTAAGCTCAAACTGTCTAAGCTCAAAGTATTGTGGGTAATTCAATACCTTCAAAAGCATGTTGACAGATGGGTAGGCTCCTGGCTCGCTTCACTGCACATCATGTAAATTAGAGGAGAGTGGGCGGATCATGACAATCCCAGAGAGTCCAAACATAATTTGTGGTGATTATAGATGCAGCCCCTGACCGCAGGAAAAAGGGTTTCCATGGTGCTGCTGTCCCGGTTGTGAAGTACAGCTGTAGTAACACCTGCCCCCTAACAGTCACACCTCCTGACCTAACAGTACACAACTGCACTGCCTTCCAAAGGCCTTACTTAAAAGGTCCAATGCAGCTGTTTTTTATTTCAATATCACATATTTTCTGGGTAACAAACAAGTACCTTACTGTGATTGTTTTCAATTAAAATGGTCAAAAAGAAACAAAAATAGCTTCTTGGCAAAGAGCAATTTCTCAATCAAGAATTTTGCTATGATTTTTCTGGGAGTGGTCTTAGTGGGGAGGGGAAAACGCAAAATTATCTGTTATTGTCAGAGCGGTTTGGAACTCTCTTTCTTATTGGTCTATTAACTAATTTACTGGCTGGTGGCCAAATCGCCATCCCACCAAAACAGGCAGAAATTTCAGGCGGTCTTTTCAAACAGCTCTTACACTAAAATGGCATTATCATAATTTTCACAATTTCACAGTGTTATCCCAACCTCAAAGTGTGGAAATATATATAACACACAGGAAAATCTAGTTTTTGACTGCACTGGGCCTTTAAGTAATTGGGACTGTGTAACCTAACAGTACACAACCACAAAGCAGACAAAGTCATTGACACTGGGTAAGAGTACCAATTACACATACAGCTGTCTCATAGTCTGCTCGACTCCACAGACAAAAGAGGCTTTCATAGACTGATGCAGTTCATATCGAATTGAATAATTCGGAATCACGCTTATTAATAACGTGTTATAAGGGTTTCTGGGCTGATTGAACAATATAACACAGCACCAAATGGTTCAGTCTGGGGGACTTGGAAAATTGCAGGACTACTTTTTCACATTGCATAATTTTCCACACTGAGGTCACCTTGCAATATACCAATCTATATGAAAAAAAACGTTATGCATATATTAATAATATCAAGTAAAATATGAAAAAGTAAAGCAACCTTTAAAGAGGCCACTGCCTAACATATCCAGTTGACAAAATGTGATTGAATAGTAATCTCAAAACAAGTCAAGTAAGAAAGGCATTAAACAGATGTTAGGTATGTTACTATGACAGATTATTGGTGTCACAGTAGATATTTAGTATGTAAGCCTTGCACCTCTTAACTCTGGACTGAAGAGCAAACAGGGTCAGTATCATGGCCAGGTCCAGGCCCCAAGCAGCTGATATAATGACACAGTCTATTGCAGTGGTTTGCAAATGGTAAAATATCTATCAATTGACATCGCTGCAGGTAGGAAAAGCACACCACCCCCCGTACATGTGACAAACAAAGGCTTGAAAAACACATGTGGGGTAGTACACAGAGTGAGTCTGTGTCACGATGTCTGCCAACACCCTGGGTAGCATAGAGCTGATTCCTACCAGGTCGTTCAGGGGGAGACTGTAAAACATGGGCTTGTGGAGAGTCCGCTGTGTGACGATCAACAGCATGATGGTCAGGTTACAGAAGACAGAGAACAGATAGAGCAGGAGACCCATGGTGAACACAGGGTAGCTCAATGGGGTAGGGATGTCAAAACTGGCGATCTGCAAGTGGTAACTGAATGTCTGATTAAGATTCTGGTCAGCCATCATCAAATCTTATGTATACATTCAATGTACTATTAGGTATATAAATCTGACCCAATACTAGCAAAAAATGATATAAAGCTAGTTAGCTCCAGTCTAGCTTACTGTAGGGCTCTTATTAACTGAATGATCAGATTGGTTATATTCAGTCACTGTAGATGGTGAATTGAAATCATATTGTAGTTTAGAATTTTAAACATACAGTGCCTTTGGAAAGTATTCAGACGCCTTGAATTTTTCCACATTTTGTTACGTTACAGCCTTATTCTAAAATTGATTAAATCGTTTTTTGGGAGTTTCTCCCATTCTTCTCTGCAGATCCTCTAAAGCTCTGTCAGGTTGGATGGGGAGCGACGCTGCACAGCTATTTTCAGGTCTCTCCAGAGATGTATGATCTGATTCAAGTCCGGGCTCTGGCTGGGCGACTCAAGGACATTCAGAGACTTGTCCCAAAGCCACTCCTGCGTTGTCTTGGCTGTGTGCTTAGGGTCGTTGTCCTGTTAGAAGGTGAAACTTCGCCCCAGTCTGAGGTCCTGAGCGCTCTGGAGCAGGATCAAGGATCTCTCTGTACTTTGCTCCGTTCATCTTTGCCTCGATCCTGACTGGTCTCCCAGTCCCTGCCGCTGAAAAACATCCCCACAGCATGATGCTGCCACCACCATGCATCACCGTAGGGATGGTGCCAGGTTTCCTCCAGACGTGACGCTTGGCATTCAGGCCAAAGATTTCAATCTTGGATTCATCAAACCAGAGAATCTTGATTCTCATGGTCTGAGAGTCTTTAGGTGCCTTTTGGCAAACTCCAAGCGGGCTGTCATGTGGCTTTTACTGACCAAGTCCCTTCTCTCCTGATTTCTCAGTTTGGCCGGGCGGAGCTCTAGGATGAGTCTTGGTGGTTCCAAACTTCTTCCATTTAAGAGTGATGGAGGCCACTGTGTTCTTGGGGACCTTCAATCTAACCCATTTGTTCTGAATCAATGTTTTAATTTCCCCTCTACCCAACTGCACCTGTATATCCACAATATTATTTTTCACTGCTCTTTTTGCTATTATATCTACTATATAATTTCCATTAACTCCTGTATGAGCTGGAATCCAACAGAACTGAATTTCAATACCATTTCTTTGTAACTCCAAACAACAGCATTATTCTTTCTAACTATAAATCCTCACGTTCTGACTTTCCAGATCTTAAACTACACAAAACTGATGCAGAGTCCCAACATATTACTACTCTTCTTGGTTGCGCCTCCTCTATCCATTTCAATCCAACAATTATCGCAACCATTTCTGTTGAATATACAGAAAATCATTAGTTTGTCTCTTGCATAGATTAACATCGAACTCAGGAATAAATACACCTGCTCCTGTCTTCCCATTCATGGGATCCTTTGAACCATCTGTATACACTGCAAGACAATAATAAAACTGATTACTAATATATTGATCCACTATTGTTCCTACATTATCTTCTTCACAACACTGTTTCTTTTTTTCTATCAGGCTAAGATCAACGCGTGGTCTTGCATTAAACCACAGTGGCACATTTCCTATTGCCACAGATGGCCCTATAGCAATATATCTGAGTCCATATTCATCAACCCTTTTTCCAATCTCTGGGCCAAAACCCCTCTTTTGATATCATTCATATTCCCAACAGTCTTCCAATACTGTCAGTGTAGGATGATCCACCGTACTACCCTTCAGTCTTTCCCAGCATGCCTGGGCTAGCTTAACTCTTCTAAGGGATAGAGGCATTTCCCCAGTATCTACTTGTAAAGCCTCAACCAGTGTCGTTTTAAATACACCATCACACATCCTGAGTGCCCTCACTTGCATCCTATCATGGCTCAACAGTGATGTAAAAGCCGCAGAACCATAAACAAAGCACCCATAATCTATGGACGATCTCATCAAAGTAAGATGAATATTCAGTAAAGATTGCCTATCTGCCCCCCAATCATGACCAACTACTGTCCTCATAAGATGTAATACTTTCTTACATTTAGTCTCAATACATGTCATATGTCTCCATGTAAGCTTTTCATCAAACCATAGCCCCAAATACTTGAATTCTGTTACCCTTTCCAGTCGTTCTCCATATAATTGAACACTGACATCTTCCTTAATCATTTTGTTAGTGAACATCATATGGCAAGATTTTGATAAAGATAACTACAATCCCACCCTGACCTGGAAGGTTTGGTCAAACAAGAAATCCATAATCCAGTTATACATTTTTCCCACTAATACCCATTCCATTCAATTTAATCAGTAGACCTTCCCGCCACATTGTATCATATGCTTTTTCAATATCAAAATATACTACTGACCTCACTTCCTTCATTGCCAAAGCTTTGGTCACCTCAGTCTGACATGCACTGTCAACTGTGAGACCTTATATAGACAGATGTTTGCCTTTCCAAATCATGTCCAATCAATTGAATTTACCACAAGTGGACTTCAATCAAGTTGTAGAAACATCTCAAGGATGATCAATGGAAACATGATGCACCTGAGCTCAATTTCGAGTCTCATAGCAAAGGGTCTGAATACTTATGTAAATAAGGTATTTCTGTTTTTAATTTTTAATACATTTGCAAACATTTCTATAAACCTGTTTTCGCTTTGTCATTATGGGGTATTGTGTGTACATTGATGAGGACAAAAATTTATTTGATCCATTTCAGAATAAGGCTGTAACGTAACAAAATGTTATGTGCAGAAACAATAGACTTTGCCCCACATCTGGCCTAATTGTGACTGTGAACCATCATCATACACCAGGTTTGTTATTGGTTCAGACTGATACTTGTAGCATAGATAAAATGTAGCATAGTTTTGTTTGAGAAAAACAATTTTTATATTCAAATGTAGGAACTGGGTTCTACAGTTTGAACCCCTGCTGTCTCTGGCTCCACATCCACCCTGCCCGGCCATCTAGATGTGTGAAAGTTATTGTATAAGCTAATGATCCATCATGTATGACATTCCTGGGAGTGTGTAAACTTACATTTTGTATTACCATATCATTTTGTATGTTCTCTATAGTTATGTACTTGAAAATGTATCAATTGACCAATTCGGCACATTTGGGCAGACTTGATACAAAATATTCGAGTATTGCAATGCTTCGCTGGATCAATCTGAAACTTTGCACACACACTGCTGCCATCTAGTGGCCAGAATCTAAATATGATGATGATAGAACAAAAAAATTAATAGAAAACGCATGTTTCTTTTACAAACACGGTTTTCGTGTTTAGTGAGTCCGCCAGATCAGAGGCAGAAGTGATGACAACGCATTATATTGATAGGTTTGTGAATTGGGCCATGTCGCTGCCCTGCTAAGCATTCAAAATGTAACGAGTACTTTTGGGTGTCAGGGCAAATGTATGGGAGTAAAACGTTCTTATTTTCTTTATGAATGTATTGGAAAAGTTGTAAAAAATATAAATAGTAAAGTAAAGTACAGATACCCCAAAAAACTACTTAAGTAGTACTTTAAAATATTTTTACTTAAGTACTTTACACCACTGGGAATATTAAGAGTAAACTGTGACGCACAAACCCCATCTCCCCTCGATGAATTTAATTCATTAATTCATTTATTTATTCATTCAATCATTCATTCATTACAATTACAGTAGCATTTACTTTGTTACAGTGTAATTAATAAGAGTGAAAATTATACGGTGACATTCAGTGGGGCCTCTATTGGGTGAATGGGCACATATTTGTTTTATGGGCCTAATAGTAAAGACGTAATTTAACATATTTTTTTTATGTGGCATGAACACAACCAGTCATAATGTATTTGTCTGATTGTCAAACAAATCTCTTAAAAAAGTAGGCTACCTGCGCACGTTTGGCCACTCCAAAACAATTCCAGCATCCAAACAGTGCACTGTGCACCTGCCATTTGATGAATGGAAAGAGACATCTGTTACAGACACCATCAGTGTAATCACATCTGTTACAGACACCATCAGTGTAATCACATCTGTTATAGACACCATCAGTGTAATCACATCTGATACAGACACCATCAGTGTAATCACATCGGTTACAGACACCATCAGTGTAATCACATCTGTTACAGACACCATCAGTGTAATCACATATGTTACAGACACCATCAGTGTAATCACATCTGTTACAGACACCATCAGTGTAATCACATCTGTTACAGACACCATCAGACTTAAGACTTCCAAATCGCTTTGAGCCCCTGTTCCAGCTGTCTTCTGCTGGGGGCTTGGGTGTTCCCTCCATGGCTGTGGACGACCCTCCAGCTACCTCTCCCTGCGGTATATATTCAGAATCACATTCCTGTAAAGCTTAGAGAGGATCTCATGTTAAATACTGTTGAAGTGATATGGCTACAGATTCACCTGCCTCACCTAAAGCCCATTCTGGTGGGAAGCTGCTATAGACCACAAAGTGCTAACAGTCAGTATCTGGATAACGTGTGAAAATATTGATTATATATGTGATATCAATAAAGAGGTATACTTTCTGGGTGATTTTAAATATTGACTGGCTTTTATCAGGCTGCCCACTCAAGAGAAAGCTTCAAACTGTAACTAGTGTCTGCAACCTGGTTCAGGTTATCAATCAACCCACCAGGGTAGTTACAAACAGTACAGGAATGAAATCATCAACATGTATTGATCATATCTTTACTAATGCTGCAGAAATGTGTTTGAAAGCAGTATCCAAATCCATCGGATGTAGTGATCACAATATAGTAGCCATATCTAGAAAAACCAAAGTTCCAAAGGCTGGGCCTAATATTGTGTCTAAGAGGTTTTACAATAAGTTTTGTAGTGATTCATATGTTGAGTTGAAGAATATTACAGACTCCATCTTTCTTGTCTCTCTAATTTTCCTTCAATTTGCAAGTGGCTGAATCTATCTTACTGGAGAAAGTAATGTCATAATCCTTTTGGCCAGACAGCATCAGATACATTGGCTACACATACTGACACAGAGGGGCACTG